TGCTTGCGGAACTTGCTTATCTTCAAATCATTACAGCTACAACACAGCTACCACTGAAGCAGAGAAGTGGTTTACAATTTAATTTCTGCAAAAATAATCAATTTCAAGCCTGGAAGAAACTAAGATTTAATTTAATCAGATTAAAATCTTAAAATTTATAATGCCCAACAACAGCAAAGTTAGATGTTTAGAAATGCACTACTGCACATGCATTAATGAACACCTCAGAACGCTAATAAACTCATGTCAGCATGAGAAGATACCCAAAATACTTTTTGGAGTATATTTTTCTCAGGCAGTTCCCTCATGGACACTGTAACAGGGAATTCAGTCCCTTCTATTCTGACAGCAAAATTTAGCATAACTACCAGCTTCTGACTGGGGAATGTCTTACAAAGGCTGTCCCTTGTGTGACACGGCTAGTCAGCTCTTTCCGAGCATTTTGAGATAATGGATAAAACCCTTTTATTTCAATATGTATGAATCATATTGCATTGTTGAGTGTTGCTGTCATATAAGTGATCAGCAGAAACGCTAAACACAACTAGTTAATAGTGCGACCAGGGACATCACATTCGAAGTGCCAAACCATGAACCTTTCACGCAGCCCAACTATCCTCGCAAGGTTTCAGCTCGTCCCCGAGATCCTCTCCCAGTCTTCTGCGACCCCATTCAGACTGCCTTGGCTGCCAGCATCCACGCACGGTTCCTTTTACTCAGAAAGAAGCAAGAAAACAAAGGCTCCTTCCATTTAGCCTCATAAATACACATGCACATGCTCAAAGGGCTGATAGCTTGACTACGGGACTAGGGGTGATTTTCAAGACCAAATACATCTCAGTAAAAAACACCTCCCTGCCTGTTACCCATGCAAATCCACCTATCTGAATTCTAACTGGAGTTTAATTTTTCTCATCAACCAGCTGTGAACTAATTACGAGGACCTCTAACTAGTCCTGCCTCCCTCTCCAAGCATATGGATCCAATTAAGTCAAACTGCAGCTGATTTTAATCAATCTTCCTTGAAGCAGCCAAACTTGAAGAATCTCTTCTCCTTCAGCTCAAAGAGTAGAGGAGAGCAGGAAAAGCAGGAGAGTAGTATTTGCATAAGGAACACTTCACATCCGTTTGGTTGCCTATAAACACAAGGCTCCTCGCAGTAAGAAATGCTAATTGAACACTCCTCACAAGCCTTTCCTCCCACTTTATCCAAAAAAGCACTGATTTGATCAGTCTCTTCTGTGCCCAGCATCAAGTTGCACTTTTCCACCAGCAGCTTGGGAAGATAGTGCCGATCGTTTGAGACAACTGAACAAACCAAACCTGTCACGGAAGTCTCAGCACGTCTGCCCAACAGAGGCCGAGCAGTAACAGAATGTTTGCTTTCATGGAAACCTTCTTTGCTTCATCAAAAGAAAGAAGGGTAGGGGACAGGAGATAAAATTGTCTGGTTAAGCCCACTCTTTTCATATATGATTTGAATCTCTCAAATTTCAAACAGGTCAAATATTTTTCTTAAGATAATGTCCTTGGAGATAGGGAGGCACCCTCAGCACGGTGTAGTTATCCAACATTCCTTGCGTTTCTGTAATTTGAGGTTTTTATTAGCAGTAAAGACCTGACCAGTGAGTAATATCCATGCTAAAGTCTTTATACAAGTGAAGGAAAATCAATGCAGCCTGCAGCTAGGTGTCAAGAGCCAAGGGGTTTTGGAAGACGGGGTGTGCGGAGGTGGAAAGCGCCTTCAGCCATAATTCGAGCTGTCCCCACTCAAGCACAGGATACGAAGAGATGTCAGATGTTATACACACTGCTGCAGTTAGCTATCAGTAGCTCAGTTTCTTTATTTGCTAATATTGAACTCCGGGAGCCTGAATCACACACCCGACACAAAAGTGCCTTTCCCCGTGCTCATGTGCCCTCCGGCCAGTCCATGAGGATCCCGTAGTTCACCAAGAGGGCTATTGTGAGCGGCAGCCAAAGCTGAAACGGGCAAAATTTATGTGCCAATACTCAGATACAGAAGAATGTGAGAGGAGGTAAACATTTTTTGAAACTTTACTCCCTTCCACAAGTCAATACAGTCAAACATTGACATTTTTAATTATCAAACACCAGCCGTATCTCCCCAGATTTCATTCTCCGCACACAGCTTTGTGAACTCAATAGACCTCAGTCCAGCGCAAAGCAGTCAAAGCCTTAATGCTACATCTTGCTTCTTCCAAATTCACAACTTTAATAAACTCCCTCTACGTATCTTTCACTTAGTAGATACAATTCCAGAAAGTCGAAAGCTTTATTTTAAAAGAAGGAATTGCAGATAAAAAATGGTCCAAAATGGCCCTCATCCTATCTTGTTTAATACTACCTACTTTCTTAAATCTGTATTTGATACCAGACTTTTCCCATGTTTGCAATTTCAATCATCTTTTCAGTAAAATTTCCCTGTGATTTTTGCATATAAAATTTGTCTGGTCTTTTTTTCCCCCTTGTGATAAAGAGATATGATTTTAACCCATCACTTCCCAGTAATTTTCTTCAGAGATGGGAATAAATAACGTGTCAAGCTAGCCGCATTTAAGCAACCTTATCTGAGTGCATAATAATATTTTCAGTGTATTTGCTCAGAACTGATAGAAGAGGTGAATTTCTAAGCTTATCCTTAACTTAGTGGGTTCCTACTCTAAGGAAGCTTCTTCCAATGTGTTTATAAAAAAAGTCATTCTAAGCTTTGCCTGTCGAGATATTTGATCCTCAAGGTGAATAAAAATGGGAAGGCTGACATTTTCTCCTCTGAGGAGTTCCAAAATCTTGATCATTCTGGTGGGCACATACTGATCGATACTGACATTTTAGCATTCAGCTTACATAATCCTATATTTATGCTTTCCTCTCTAATCTCTACTGGGTGCTTTTGGCATCCAACCCTCTAAGATAGAAATAAAGTGAGAAGCTAAAGAAGGGGGGACCTACCTCCTGTTAAATAAAGAATTAGAGCCATGTCCTCAGCCTTGGCAAGGCAGATGCAAGGGCATGATTACCTTAATTCAACTCACTAACAATCCTGTTGGGGGACTGGCAGATTTCACTTTCCTAGACCTGCTAAGCCAGATGACCGCTTTCCTTCTCTTTTTCCACATCCACATGTGATCTCATCCCTTCCCACACAATCTTCACTCTGCTCTATCTGCAGGTTGTTCCTGCTCTCCTCCACTCCCTCCACAGAGCCCTGACCTCCACGATTCTGCATTCAAATGGGAAGTACCACTAACGAGACGGGTCACGGGGATCCTGTGATGAGCTTTCAGAGCCTTTTCGGTGAACAGTACAGCTGTTACTGTACAGTACCTTTAAGCCCAGTGTGAAGGTCCCTTCTTGCTCCTATCACCACACTACTCTGCCCTACTGCAAAAGCTCAGCCATCCAAAGAGCAGCTGCTGCTGATCTCCTCTACTGAGGACCAGAAGGCAGACAATTAGTAAGACTACGCTGAAGACTTTGAGACCTTCCTCTCTGAATGTGCAATTTATAAAGCTTGGTGATTTGGGATCTCAAGAGCAGTATGAGCAAACTTCAGAACACAACAAAGAAAACCAGGAATTCCTCTGGTCAGGCCTTCTTGGAAAGCCATAAGTCACTGTACGACAACGCTGGCAGACTGAATGTGACCTGAGTGTAATCTGCTCTGAAACCAAAGCTGCTGTAGAGTTTGTTGGAGACTTAAGCATCCAAACACCAGCCCAAAGCTCTCACCTCCTTCTGATGACTGAAACCCAATTAAAGGAGAGCCGGGTGACAGGTTTCACACTAGACATGGCTCAGCAAAGATGCTCAGCAGCTCTTAGCTCCATGCTTTATCGAAGCTGTCACTTCCCCTGTCTCTAGGAATTGGTAACAAAAAATAAATAAATATCTGATTTGCCTCTTATAGGTGTCAAGACAAAATCAACGGTCTGTCTGAAATCTGGGTAATTTCAAAACTTCACGTTTTCTACCGTGAAGCAATTTATACAAAAATGGGAAGAAAAAAAAGGAGAGAAAGAAACAAAAATTAAGAGAATGAAATACCACAATACCAAATTGTTCAATGTATCAGGGAGAAGGGAGAGATAACACTGTTCACAGCAGGGTGGGCTTTGATTAAACAGGCTCCAATTCTTGTTTGCTTCAGCATCTTTCACAGCAAACACTACAAAAGCTTGAATCACTCCCATGCCCCTCCTCCACACAGCCAGATTGTTCCCAGAAGGAGAACAAGCTGAAGAGATAGTCCACTCACCTGCCCCAGGTGCCCCTGCCCTCCTTCAAGGAGGGTGACCTCATGGATCTATCCAGAGTGAAAAGCTGAAGACCTTCTGCCGTACAGGACAGCGCTACTTCACGGAAAGGTAGACCACCCACAGTAGCACAGCAAAATTAAACACGCCCTTTCGTCCTTCTGACTCCACACCTTCTGCTTTCCATCTCTGTGGTCTGGAGAAGGCATCACATCACCCTCGCAACAGCACTGATGCTGCCTGGCTTGGAAAACTACTGCCTCATGCGGCAACAGACTGGTGGTCTCTGTCTCCAACACTGACAGCACCAGTGGAGCCTTCAGTACAAATGGAGCTCAAATTTTCACATCAGCTCCGTGCTGTTAAGCCCTGTCCACACTCCTGCATTAGCACAAAAGAATTTGGAGACTGACAACTTATGGCAGTGGAGCTACTTAATATGGAACAGTTTTTAAGGCTCCAAGAAGAATGAGGTTCTAGGCAAAGGCACTGAAAAAGACAACTGCATCTGCGCGATTGCACCTGACATCGAAACGCTCCAACAACACAACCGGAGATACAGGTGTGTTGGTGCAGTTTGCACAGGCTTCCGAAAAAACGCCTTGCCCAGATTGAGGGAAGTGAAGTCGCATGCTGTGAGTATTTGGGCACATCTGTTACAACAGCTATGGCAAACGGACCACATCAGGCTCTCCAGCTGCTCTGGACCTCCACAGTTCCTACCTGCAGAGTTAGCTTCTCCAGTTTCATTTCCAGAGATCTGTTCTCCTCTTCCAGCTTGCTGCGTTCAGCTTCCAGCTCCTCAATTTTCAGCCTGGAGAAGACAGGAAAGTTAATAGACATCGTGTCCCTGCAGAGACCCACCACAAATGATGAAGTAAAACAGGAAATCACAAGCAGTATCAGATCATCCCTCTATTCGGTACCAGAAAACAACATTATTAATGCAGTTAAATCATATGACTAAAAGATAAGATGACAATACAATTTCTACAAGTCAAATTCAACATAGATACTTCCTGAACGACACACTGACTCTAGACCATCCTGTTTATTAACACCGATAACTCAAATCTCCATGAGCGCATCAAACCTCTTTTTGATCTGATTTATAATTTTGGCCTTCACAACATTCGCTGGCAGCAAGGTCCACTGTTTAATTACGTGCTGCATGAAAAATTAGTTCATTTTGTTTTATACTTCACATGTGACTATTACACTGAGCGCCTGGTAGTTCTGCTACGAGTAGCTGTGAATAACTGTACCATACTCCCCTCTGCACACCACTTTACAGGCCTCTTGTGTTATTTCCTGAAGAATCTCAATTTAGTTTTTCTTCATCAAACGTTTTCCACATTTCTGCTCATCTTTATTGCCCTTCCTCGCTCTTCCTCAAGTTTTACATAGACTTTTTGCTATGAGAAAAGCTACAACTACAAACAGCACTCTCGTGCATTCATGGTAGGATGAGGCTTTCTGTTTTGTTCTCAACTTCTTTTCTAATATTTCCTAGTATTCTGTTCGTCTTTTTAACTACGGTGCACTTACCTGATGTTTTTACAAAATTGCTCAGGGTAATGTAAGACGCATTTAACAGCTCATTTGGAGCCCACTATTGTGCAAGTAAAAGTAAAGGCATTTTCTCTAATGTGGACAGGTTTTGCAATTATTGACGTATAACTTCATTTTGCATCTCAAGAAGCACCACAAGATTCTTAGAAAACTCTGAACAGCCTGATAAGCTGAATAATTTCCTATTTTCTCAAATTCTGTCACCTCACTACCCACAAACTCCTCTTCGTGTTGGACAACAAGTCCCAAATAAAAACCATTCTAGGACCTAATGGAAAGCCTTTTGTATTGCGAAAACAACATTTACTCTTTGATTTTCCATCTTGTAATTTTGCATTACATAGGTAAATGAATGGAAGAAAAACGCATCAACCTCTACAAAGCAGAAAGACGTTATATTATCTCTGGCTCAGGAAATCCTGGAGACAAGGCACAAAAAACCCAGCGAGCCTTCTGGCAAAGTAATCGGTAGTTTTGCCCTATTCGCGTGGTCATTTGCCACCGGCCATCCCTGCAGGCAGTACTCTGGGGCAGCCAGCCCACTGTGAGTTTTATATTCTTATTAATCCAACAAAGAACTTTCTTTCTTATTCCATCAGAGCAAAGTTTCTTTGTGTGCTTAGGCTCAAAGCGTTGAATCCTTCAGAGAACTCTATCAAACCTGTTAGGCAGAAGGCATTATTATAAAACATTTGATATAACATTTTCGCTTGCATTTAAGTACAGAGAACAAAACCCTTAATGCTGCCTCAAGAACCTCACCTTTCACATGTTAACTTCCTGGGATTAACTGTGCAACTAATGCATATTAACACCGGTCTTTGCATTCAATTTTCTCAGGATCCTTTTCCAGAATATTTTTTAAAAAATAATTACCTTGCTTGATAATACTCACTTTCAAACGATCTAAATTAAGCTGAAAATCCTTGCACCATGACAATAAGCAACATACCCATCTGTCAACATCCTCAAAATTATGCAACTGAAATTTCAAGCAACGAAGTTGTCGCCTCACCTATTCACTGGGCAAAAGTTACAAACTTTTCCATAGAAGCTGGCTGACCTACGACACCTCCAGCACAGAAATGTCTCCTTTATAAATATGCAGCTTCGATTGCTGAAATTATTTGTAAGCCCGACCCCTGCTGGTAATTTTCAGATATCATAAAGTCTCATACTTTTTCATTCTTGGAAGCTTCTAAAATGCCAAGGAACAGCTTCTACCACTGTCCAGGCCATTAAAAAACATCATAAATAATTTCCAGAAGAGACACAAAGCAAGCGGCCATGGATGACGCTGAAGAGGCAGGAGGCTGAAAAGGTCGGAAAAAATGGAAATTCAGAATGGAATTAATGCTTTTAACAGCATGTTTCTAAATGGATTGCAGAACAGGCCACGAGAAGACCACTGCGTTTCTCTGAGGAACAACAGCACAGCAGCTATGGAAAGGTCAGAGCCAGACACAGGACTCCGATCCGTACTTTCTCCACACTTGACACATTGAATTTTAATTTCGAACAAATTTCTCCCTATCTAGCCTCTCAAGTAAGCTGTGATGCTGCCATTATCTGCCTGCAGAACGTCTCTGCATGTGGAGGTTTCAGCTCAGGCCTGTTCAATGCCCTTTCATAGCAGTCGCCAGAAAACACGTCGCAGACGCGAGACACAGGCGAGCTGTAACAAGGGGAGGTTTAAGTCATTACATTTTTGTGCTATTGTCCTGGCTTGAGCTAGACAGAACCAATTAGGGCCCAGCCTCAACCCTCAACAGCTATTTCACCTGCCATTTTAAGATTTAACGATTTGTTTGTGCCCTTTGTGCCTCACTGAAGGGAGAGTGGGGATTCACAGCCGGAGCGCTCGTGGTCAGGCAGCAGACACCCCCCAGACCCCCTGTTTCGGGACCAGTATCGTGCCCGAGAGCATCCGGGAGCATGGCCAACATTTGCAGCCTCTCCCCCACGATCCGCCTTGGGATCATCCAGCTCCTTCCCAGTACCCCACTTTTTGGGGCATCCTCCTTTCCTGGCGCTTTCCCTCCCTGCTGCCTCGGCTCTCCCTCTCCTTCAGAGACCCAACTCGCTGCTTTCTCTGGACCAGCAACATCGCTGCAACCTCTTTGTATCTGAGAGGATTTCAGGACTGACTAGTGCTTTCACTACTTATCCCTCTTCTAACCTATTTTTAACGCTGTTAAGTGTCCTGGATCTCCAGTGGGAAAGCATTAAGAACCATTAGCAAACAGTTTGCGCTATTCCAGCTTTGCTTTCCAGCCCTGGGGATCTCTTCCCAATGGCAAAGAGAGAGAAGCAAGGGAAATCCTATCTATATATAAACACAGCAAAGCATTTGCAGCTGGTGGTTAAGATACGGCAGTCAAATAAATATTGAAAAATATTTACTTGCTTGGCACTTGAATTTTTTCATTTACCAAAATTCAGGTACAAGGCCAACTGTGTACTGCTTTTGGAGGCACTGGCCTCCACCAAGGCAGCCTTAGCCTCGTCTGTCCAGGGACACCTGCACAAGATATGTGACTCTATTTTATCACCAGTTTGCATGCCTCAACTTGTTATGTATGGGAGTTACTTTCAGGCAGGAAGAACAATGTAAGATAAACTCACATGAGAACCACAAAAAGCAGAGTAGAGAAACATCTGGGTACAGCATGGCCATCTATCAACTTAATGTTTGGCCCGAAATAAATGCCGTTGCCCATTTTAAAAGCAGCCTTGTGGGATCAGGAAGGGAGAAGCACCAGTCAATTTCTGAAATATCAACACCATTCTCGAGTTTTGTGATACAGGAAAAAAATAATTTTGATTAGTTTATGGAAAATTTACCAACTTCTCCTCCCTGCAGGGTTTTGAAAAATACTTAAACTCTGGTAAAGATCTCTTTACATTTATGATGCATTTTCCTGCATCAGATGCAGATAGCTTAACCTAGAATCGAAGCATACCATAGGCACAAGGTAAATTCGAGCTACACCCACAGCCTTTCACAAGATTGAATTTAGTGCAAGAATACAGATTCATTGGCTTTTGCTCAGACTTGTGGATTTTCCCACTTTCAAATATTGAGCTTTATATGGCCTCCACTGCATGCTTCACTGTCCCAAATTAGAAGAGGGAACAAGATTTTAAAAAAAGCAACCTACAGCCTCAGGTCTCCTGAAACGACACTTGTGAGAATCAGGAGACAACCCACCGTGTGCGTTCAGTCTGTCTACAAAGTGCTGAGATGGTGAGCAACGGCTGCTGGAGAGAAAGGCCAGGCTGCTCCTATTTTAGAAAGGACGAAAGAGGGAATCCGTTTGATTTTCAAGAGCATCTAGGCGTTTCCAAAAGTGTCTCAGTCCAGAGCTTTTCAGCAGAGTTAACCAGTGATGACTCCCCACCATCACCCCCTTTTTCTTTCTCTTATTCATTTTCAGTGTTCTCAGATGTGTTACGTGATTGCCCGTAGAGCAGTGTGGGTATCGCCGGTGAGGACGTGTCTCACAGAGGCCCCATCTGCGAGGAAGACATGGCCATGTGGAAAAGCTAATGCTGAACAGGAAACTATTGAATGGAGCAGAAAATGTATGTGTTGGGAAGACGCTATTAAGGGATCCAGATGGCATTGAGATGGTGTTAGGAACAGACCAGACAGAATTCCAGCAAGTGTGACTAATAGGCATTGGCAAGGACATGAATTTCTTTTGAATTACTGTAACTCTACCCAGTCACTAAATCCAGAGAAAACATTTAGGATTTACTGGGGTTGCAGTTTGACAGCAGAAAGAAAAAGTTCAGATTTGTTCCAGCTGAAAAGGTCTTTCAGCTGTTGGCACTTAAGTCTTTAGTGAAGTTCTTTTAAAATATATTACTTATAGGTCCTGAAATACTAGTTTCTGCACAGTTATCACCTTCCCTCTAAAAGGTGCTAATGCCTAAAGGCACCCTGCTTTGCTGTACCCCACAGTGCATGAACTCCACAGTTTGACCACTTTTTCTTTTCATAAGTTCTCCAGCATATAAACAAATATTATTTCAGAGGGAGCAGCAAGAAGTGTGAGAAATGACAGCATTAGCACCGGCTTTTATTGTCTCTTCAGAAATGATGATGCTGGGAGAGAGTTTCACATTTAAAGTTATAAAAGGTCTGAGGAAAGAGCACTTTGTTCTCAAGAGAAGGAGGAAAAACTGATAAAGTCTTTCAAGTTCCTCACTGAAAATTTACTTTCCATACTAAGGAAAAATGAGACAAAAGATGTATTTTTAAAATCTCTCATTCACTCACAGGAGGTGAATACCTACTCAAAGGATTAATATGGATTTTTTTTTTCTTCTCCTTTATGTCTCTCCTGCTTTTGTTTTCAGAAGTTAGCTCCTAACCATGGGGTATATATGGAAATGCCTGGAGGCTCACAGTCCACTCCTGCTCTGCAGACTCCCCTCGCCGGCTTCTGCTGATTTTCCTCTATTTTTCACATTCCTTCATGACAGCAGCTAACTGGGCTGGGCTCGGTCCAGAAGAGCAGACACGTCATAGTGTAGGTTAATGGGATTTCAAAGACCACAATAAACTACAGGAACGGAAATAAACCCCTCATGAGCTGTGGTATTTCTTTCCTCACTTGCCAGTTTGAAAGTTTGCATTCTTCCTCCTGTTTTCTGCCAGAATTAATTTCTGGCAATGGTCTATAGAAGGAAGGAGTAACAGTGGAGCTCGAGTTGCTCACTCCTCCTTAGTAGATACCTAAAATTGAGTAAACGGGTCGCACTGAGGGTCACAAACACACAGAAGGAAGATGAGCACAGCAGACCTAACCCCTTCCCATACTAATCTCTGTTCTCCTCCAAACTCCTTCTGTTCTTTAACCACAACTCAATTCACTTCTGCTGTACAGAGAGGACGCATTCAGCCAAGTACAAGGAGTGTTCTGGCGTGGACCACAGCACATTATTCCTGAGCTCCAAAAGCCTGGGGGAATATAGTGATTTACCTTGCACTCCTCTGAGAATAATTGGGCCCAGTTTCTTGTCCAATGCACAGAAAATGCCAGAAAACACAAAATAAGGCCCAACCATATCCTTTGACTGCTTTAGTCTAGAAGCATAAGAAAAAAATCTTTATGGAATCGATTCTGCAGTGCTGAAAGGAGTGATTGAGAATCTGAGAAGACACCTGAAGCAGCAACAGTAGACAACAGTAAGGAAAAAGGAGTAGGGACTAGCTTACCGGTTCTCCAGCAAAGAGAGCTCCAGCAGAAGCTGAGCAGTGAAAGGGTGCCTAAAACCACCCAAAGCCATGGTTTCTGGAACACCTCTGCAGCTAACTGACAAGCATCAGGGCCTGGGACAAGTATTTACATCAGCCATAACAACAAAAAGTGGTTCAGTAAAAGCAACAGAAAAAACAGCCTGGAATTAGATCCTGGGACTGTGCATCCACACCCTCAGGAGTATGGGGTACTGAAATAGGGAGGAGAAGAAAAGACAAAATATCACCACGGAGCAACTGCAGAAGCTCAGCCTCTTTGCTGCACCAGCTTTCGGTGTATGGCTCAGCACTGGGGAGTAGCTCTGCACCATCAACAGCTTTGCTGGGAATAGACTCAAACCAGAACAATTTCCATCGCGCTTTGTGTGAAAGGTTTGACACAATTTCATGAAAGGAGGACAGAGATGAGATTAGTAGTCAAAGCAATCCTTTAAAAACAAAGATAGAAAAACATTATCTAGGGGAGTATAGGACTGCCTTTGAGCAGAACCAACCACCACAATCCCCTAACAAGCAGATACTTGCAAGCTCCACTTGTCCCTGCCCAGGAAATAATTTTAATTCAGGGCAAAGCCAGACATCTCTACCCCCACTGCCAAGAGCCTTCCACAATATGAAGTCCTGGACTATGAAGCCATCCAGCTCTTTCCCCCTAAACACACTGTCCCTGAAGCCGCTCAGTTAATAGATGGAAAATGCTGTTCAGTGAAGATAAACCCAAATAATGAGTCTTGGAGGTGAAAATAAAGAGACTGAGCATCTCCTATACGAAAGGGTGCTGCAGCCCATACCAACCAAAGGAGGGACTGAGGAGGTACTGTAGAAACAACTCCGAATACCCCCCAGCTCCCAGAAGACAGCAAGCAGGATGCTGGCTTTACTGATACGGTGGCACATTATTCATCAGGAGTGATGGGTTTAATGTTGCTGAGGAGATGCTGGATAGTTCTGCAGCAGTAAAAACATCAGGTTTCAGAGGGTCTAGCACTCCTTAGCAAAGCAAAAACCTGAAAAACCTGAATGAGCTCAGGTCAAAGAAACATCCACAATATGCAAAAGTAGATGGGGACAGGTTTATCCCCTTGAAAAAGGGAAGCCCTTACCAGACTCAAATCTATGATAGAATAAAAAAGGGGGATGTATGCCTTGAGTCTTGAGAACTATTACACTGCCTTGAGGGAACTACAGGAGTGAGTCCCTATGATTAGGTGTACAGCCCTAGAACGTACTGGAATAGCTTAGCTGAACATGTTACTTTCAAACACCTCCCCTCTGCTATGGAACGGAGCTTTCAAAGCCGAAAAAAATGCTCCAGAGGCAAAGCAAAAGAGCGAAGCCATAATGCACAGGCTAGTAATTTTTGCTTCCTGCAAGATTCTGCTTGCTGCAAAATCTTGCTTTCAGTCCTATGAGGCAGTAACACTTTATAGTGATGGAGCTGAAAATATAGAAAAATTAAGAAGCGAAACCCCAATCAAAGTCTTACATCAGCCAAGAATAAAAAACTCAGCCTGTTGCAATCTGATTTTCTCAGCTTAAATAAAAGGAACATTATTAAACATTCAGAAACAGATGAACTTTTTTGCTCAGTGTTTATTGTGTAACCTGTTCTGGAAAGGAAGCTGTAAATGCTTTAATAGATACAAGGAAAGGTTGTCTAGCTTCACTGTAGCTTTTGTAAATGCTCATGTATCCTCTGCTGAAACACTGTTTTGTAACTTCTCTTTCACCGAATCACAACAGGTATCCCTCTGCCATCTGTAGCAATGCACAAGGGGAACATCCCTCTTTTATCTCCAGTGCTACATGCACATCAGTATTACAAAAGCTGGTTTCTAAACCTCTTCACACACATGCCAACAGTTCCTGTATTTACAGTCGAGATTTGGTCAAAATAAGAAACAAAGAGCAATGCTGTTTCCTCGGGAAAAAAAGTCAACAGGGGGAATAGCGATGCAGGAGCCAGTCTTGTGAATTAACTGAAAGCAAGAGACCCCAAACAGTAAAAGAAAAGAGCCTGCAGCCTCCCAAAAGATAGAAACCCTTATAAAGTATCTAAATGCAGGAAAGATCAGGGGCTGAGGCCTTCTGTTAATGCTTCATGGATTTCATGTCCGTAAAAGCTGTTGGGAAAGTAAAAAACATGCTTGGGAAAATAACATCCTACTTCAGAAACACGAGGAAAATATGTTCTGGTTGATGCTCCCATGCTGTTCCCTGAATAGCAGGCAGCCTATACGCTTGTACTTCGTCAGGCGTTGTAGCATTGTGAGGTCCTGTGCCTGGTGCTCTGTGACAAGGTGGCAATAACCAGAGCCGGCAGTGAAAACACCCTGGGCATTTCCCTCCGCACCAGTTCCACTGCAAACAGAATCATCTCAGCCTTCTCCTTGCTTTGCCTACCTGAGCATGTCAACCTCCTCCTTGGTGATGATGGCACTTTGCTCAGCTGTGCACTCTTGGGACTTCAGGACCTTCATCTCCACCTCCAGCTGCAGATGAGAAAAGACATTAATTCCTCCAGTACTAATAAGGGACACACATGAACAGCAAAGGGAATAGGAGAAAATCATGATGTTCTGCACAGACCAGACCTTTCTCAGCATACGGATGTGAAGAACAACTCTTCATGTGTTGAATAACAAAACCTCAGTTAACCCTGCTTCCCTCTGTAAGCCCTTTTGCCTTCAACATTTTCTCCAAAGTAGGTGAGGCACAGAAAACTGATTATTTCTAAGCAAAGCTTCTGCTTGTCTTCCAGATATTTCCCCAACACGTCCCCCATGGATAATTGGATGCAGAGAATTATCTGTGTGGTATTAGGAGGTCACTGGTACCCAAGATTTGGTATTGACCGTTCAACATCATTTAGCTTCAATTCCTCCCCCCAAAAAATGAAAAACAGGATTATGCTGTCTTGTCCAGGACAACTCTGAGACACATACATGGAATCCAAATATTTCCAGCACTTTCTGATATATACTTCCAGCTCAAGTTGCTCAGGTAAGGCTGATGGAACAAATAAACTATTAAGAACACCTTCTGCCTCTGGCTTTGTTTGATGAAGAACCAATGAGAAAGTACTTTGAAACTCTACAGACATGAAAACTTCTTGCCCAGACTCTACCATTCCCAGGCTTCCCGACTTATGGGAACCTGTATCCCTAATTCTGCTATCCAGAGAACGCACAGATTGATAAACTACACGTGTTACTTGCTTCTAAACCTCTCAGAAAATGAATTATTAGGAAGCGTAAGCAGAGACAAACTACCTAGAGGATACTCAAACTTCTGTTGCAGCACCATCTTCCAGCCTAGACCTCCTTCACACTCACTCTTCAGATTTTGAATTTCCTTTTGTCATCTGTTTTTTAGCACCTAGCGACTAATTTCCCTAATAAATCAATTGACAGAAACAATATTTTTCACTCAGGAAGAAACCAGTAAGAAATCCAGCTCTAATTACAGATGCAAAACTTATGACCACAGAGAGCTCAGTGCTCAGCATCAGGGAAATAATGCATTAATACACTATTCCCTTGAACAGCACCGATTAGACTTGAAGAATAAAATCCTACTGTAATGGCAGACTTTATGGGAGAACAGCAAGCTGGCTGGCCCAAATTTTCCAAGGAAGAGAAGCACATTGACATGTGCAGTCATATTGCTCAGTCAGAATTGGAATTTTGACGTGCTGCCTCTTTGCCCTTCCATGCCCAGAGACAGACAGAGCACGGGAGCACTGTTAGCAGGAAAGGGCAGAAAAAGGATGTCTGGATTATTCTCCTTCCCCTTTCTGATTCCACTGAGACAGAGTGGAAGAGAGAGGGTAGAAAAGAAGTTTTAGCCAAATTTCTTCCTGGCACCCCAAAGGCTTGCATTCTCCTTCTGCCTGTCAAAAGGCATCCAGGAAGAGAAAATAAGCAACGGCCCACCTGCATCATCAGGCTGTACAAATGTTAATGTATATTAGCTGCCTGATAAGATTATCACAGCCAGAAATGCTTCCCTCAATTTTCTGATTACTGAGCTTATCTCTCCCAGCTCAGCCCATCACAGATGGCTGGGGATAAAGCAAGCACACCAGATAATTCCAGGAATGTGAATAAGAGGTACCGGGACGAGGAGCAGGCTTCAGTTCCAACATACTTTTAGCTGGAAAACACTCATTATACCTCCCATTTCCCGCGTCTGCTGAAGCCCGGATGTGTTTGCTATTAAGAGTTCTGGGCTGCATGTGGACAGCATTTGAAGATGGAAGGGCTGGTAAATGTGTTATTTATCACAGGCTAAGCGGGCTCAGCCTTGAGTCCAGCTGCCACCTGCTCACCGACGCGACCAGATAAATCACGGCTGCCTTCTCGGGGGAGAAGGGCGGGGGGATGGAGGGGGTGGGCGAGTAATCTCTTGTTGTGATCTGGGGTCTCTCGTGCTGGCTGCACAGAGAGGGAAAAATTGAGTGTGTAATGGGAAAAAGAGACGGGAGAGCGGATGCACACACACTCAAGTGAATGCTGCCGCGGAAAACATCAGCGCAGGTCTCGCCTGATACACAGCGGTGACAAATCGGCACCAGGGACGCTCAGTAGCGGCGTGATGAGATTCTGCTGGGTTTCTAAGAACAAGCCGTTGAAGGAGAACGAGGAGGCAAGGGCACGGCGACTGTGAGGGCATTTTATGTCATTTTTGTGTCCTCCCAGGTTTCAAGCACCAAATCTACCTGGACTGAAAATCTGATGTGCCTGAGGTGAGAAAGAAGAGGAAGACACAGTGATATCTGTACAGATGAAGCAGTTAAATGTTGACACAGACTTGTTTCCCAGAACTAAGATTAAAACTATCAAAGCGTTTCAAGTTCAGGCCAAGGCATAACTTTGTGCCACAGGCAATTATTGTCTTTAAAATCTCACTAATCGTTTATGAGAAAAAAGAAAGTAAAACAATTAAGGTAATAAATAATTCATTCAAAATATGCTGCTTGTTTCCTTTAATCGTTAGGGTTTCAGGAGGAAAACATCCCTGCCTGCCAGTCTCACAAAAGATATTAAAAATGTTATTTATATCTTTTCCAGGCCAAAAGAAAGTTAGTTAAGATGGACTGGTTTATTGTTGGGATCCAATTCTGCTTTTCCAAAGGCAGCACAGTGCAAACAAATAGGTCTTCATGAAACACGAACGAAGAGCAAAAAAGAGCAAAAGGAATCTGTTGATAAAACTTTCCTCAGAGGCGCAGTTTTGCCCACTAGGCAATCCAAGTAGACCACGATATCCCCAGCCTCTGGTCAGACCTGGCCCACTCGTTCCAGTGTAACCCTGTGTGAGACCTTGTCACCACCTGCTCCTCCAGCCCGACCTTCGCTGCAGTGCGTGATGCAGCCAAGAAAAAAGAAGGAAAAGAAGCGGGACTGAATGAGGAAAATAAGCAACAGGAAGGCAGTAATAAAAGAAATAGAAACCCATATTCTACGTAATTTTCAGCACTGTGTGCAAGTGTAAGAGGTGAGGAGGTGAGCGAGATCATCCCCTTTGGCACAGCCTCTCAGGACAGCTCTGGGGACCAGGTGATAAACATGAAATGACTCACTTCTGCTTTTTGCGCTAACTCAATATTCCTGCCTAATCTCTTGCAATTTTTATCAATAATTTTATATAACTGGCTGAGTTAAACTTTTATTACTTTGAATACATTAAGCTAGTAGAAGCCATTACCCAGCAGAGAGGGGAAAAGGGCTGCTCGAATTACAGCTCATTGCGTGTTCCCCCCATTCAGCACCAAGCGACGGAGGTCAGGCTCGGATCCTTTAATTCTCTTTTATGTTGATCTCGTTCTTCTAACCAGCGCTGATAGCAGAGAGAGAACATTGTCCTGAAATACAGCACTGCACCTCTTATCCTGAGAAGGGACCTAAGTACCTACAGCTTCTGTGGGAGCTTCAGGGTTAACACCACCCACGATCGGACCCCGCTGCACAGAACATATCCACAACTCCAGAAGAAACCAAGCTAACATTCTAGTTTTTAAAAAAGCTATCCAAGGTTTTTATGACATTAAAAAGCAGAATTATGAGTAATGGCAGAGCCCATGACTTGTGAATAAAACATAAACAGGTATTTAATATTTTGACTATCTGATGTTCTCTTCTCGGCATGTACTGTAGCCTCCTGCTCTCAAACCTAAAATGGTCCCCTTAATCCTGAACCTTTTCTACTCTCTTTCACTTCATGAATTTCACTCCAGCTTTATTGCCCTCAAAAGAAAATGGCCAGGACACATCCCATATATAGAATAATTTTAGAACACTCACTTTCACAAATATGCAAGAATCCCAAAAGACGAAATAAAAATACTTTTTCCAAAATACATACTGTCATCATTATTTACAAAATGGAGAAAGAGAAGAAGGAGCATGGATAGATTTTCATTCAGTGTTTACTTAAATGAAACATTCTTCTTCTTCCAGCCTTACTTTTAAACCTGCCTGGACAGGGTTTCAAGATGGTGGTTCTCCCCCAAGTGTTAAAGACATGGCAAACGCCCACAGCAGTGTAAGAAATATGTTCCTCGCTGGTTCCTTCTTCTGTACGAATTATTTAAAGATACATGAGATGACAGGAGAAACAGAACGCTATAAATTCATCTTGTGACAGCTAGAAGAAACAAAACTTTTGAGAGCTGATTTTCTTGATCCGTTTTTTGGCACTTGTCATTTCTGACCCATATTTGTCCCCTCCAAAACAAGTACTCGGAGCCTTTGCAATGCCACGGACCTGCTGTTCCTCCCACTTGATTCCAGTGGCCTTCAGCATTCGTGAAAATGAGCCTTCCCGAAAAATCCACCCCGCTGAGCGCCGCTGTCCGCACCCCGCCCTCAAAACAAGGCTCATCGCAGGACTTAAGCTTCTAAATCAGATCAGTCCCCCTTGAAAGCCACATTTACAAACTTCTGCAAATTTTAACGCGCTGCCTGAAATAAGGAACAAATTTCCATTCAGGTGCCTCATTTTGGGTAGTAAACGACTCAAAATCTAAAGTACTTCAACTCACTGCTAAAGTTAGAATGTGCATGTTGAAGAAAAAGGGCCCAATTTATTCGCCCACATCATGTACACGTATTTCACAGAACACATGCTGGAGACATACAGTTATTATTTGAATAATGAGTGCATTTTAGTGAGGGGCTGATACAGCAATCTTATCCTGATGAAGTGTGTCTGCACGTCATTCAGCATTCTTGGAACTGTAAAAAAGCAGGAAATGCTGAATCCATTATAAATGTCTAAAGGTTTAGTTAACAATGGGCTGATGCAACATCCTTTGAAAGGCCTTCCTCAGCAAAAGAGCTGATTTTAAAAGGCAGAGATAAATAGGAACTGAATTGCAAGGAGCCAGCATGGAAAGGTGAATTGAGAGGTTGTGTTTGACTACGAGTCTCAACACAATTCAAGAAGCTATTTAAATACATAAATATTTAAATGTATGAAAACCAAGCAG